CAAGGCTAACCAGAGGATTAAACCAGACAAGGCACCTGAAAGCGTAGCACTGGGAACTGGTCCTGGCCCCACATGGGTCGTCTTAGGAATTCTGAGCATCTGTAAAAAGGGTCTGTGCTCCCCACTGAAATTTGAAGTGATCTGAGAGTTGGGGTTATGTCTGGCACACACCCTGGGCTGGTGGCTTGAAGCCTCCAAGGATGGCTCCCGATCTGCTCCCCTCCCCCGTTTCAGAAGCAGCAGTAGCAGGGGTTCTAGTTTCAGCCACCCTAGCAGGCACCCCAGCAAGGGCAGCAGCACTGGCCAGAGTCACCCAGCATGCCTGGGCCGTAAATCTGGCTTTTCTCCTTAGCAGAGGTGTGACGATCCTGGGCAAGCCACTTGTCCTCTCTGGGCCTTGGTATTCTCACCTGGAGAATGGGGCCGATCAGCTGATCCCAGGGGTGAGGACCACTTGACAGCACCCAGGGTGTTAAGTGCCCCTTCCCCCAGCCTCCACCTGAATGGCCAGGAGTTGTGGGCTCAGCTCTTCCCAGGGGTCCAGGGAGGTGAGGCTGAGGGAGAAAGGGCACCAACATGGCTTAACAATTATCCCCATCTCCAGGAATAATTCACCAAGTGGAGGGGGGGCGCTCTCCTGGGCACCTTCAGGAGTCTAGGAGATGTTCAGCCAGGCAACGGCAGGTTGAAATCCAGCGGTGTCCGCTTGTACACGGAGGCTGGACATCACCTACTCCGAGAACTTCCTTCTGCACAACAGTTTTTATTTCACAAATGCTGATAAAGTGTTTATCATGCACCAAGCACTTCCTGAATCCCTATAACAGCCCTAGAGGGTTATTCTGCTCCTATTTTACAAGTGAGGAAATGAAGGCCTGGAGAAGTCAACTAATGCAGCCAAGGTCACAGGGCTAAGAAGTGGGCGAGCTGGGATCTAAACTTGGCAGCAGGGCTCCAGGCTGTGCACTTAACTACGGCGCCATTCCCCTCTCCAGTTCTTAACTAGATATTCTCTCGGAATTCAGGGTCAGATTCAGGGTTTCTATGAGAACCCGTCTGTGTGTCTATGACTTTGTGTGGTGTGCCTGTGCGGGCATTTTGGGAGGAGATGAGCCATGGTGTTCATCATCTTCTCTAAGAGGTCTATCCTTGACGGAAGATTTGCTTACAAAAAGAGTGTTTGGCTGCTGAAATTTAAAGAAAAAATTAAAAACAACTGGATCTGTTGAACTGCCCCCTTCATAGCTAGGGTAACTGAGGCCCAGGGGAAATTGAAGCAAGGAGAAGGAACTTGCCCAAGGTCACAGGCGAGTTAGTGGCAGCATTAGCACGAGCACGCAGGATCCCCAGCACCCAATCCAAGATCTTTGCCACCTTTCTCTTCTCCTCCTCCTCACGTTTATATAGATGCAGTAGCTTTTGCCTCTGGGACAGGAGGTATTCAAGAAGTGCCCAAATCCTTGCTGTGACCCTCCCAGGAGAGCAAGTGAGCCACTGTTCTTGGCGCTTGTCTTCTCATTTCCCATGAGAGTTGGCAGGGCCCCTGGGCACCAAGCTGAGACCCTGGTCACTCAATGAGAAATGAGGGGCAGGATCCGGTTCTAGGCAGATGCTGGGAGAGTATTTGTCTCTTCCACAGCCCCCTGTGGCCAGTCAGTGAGGGTCTATAAGGCTGCATGCATCCTGGGAGGTGGCCAGGTTTTCATTTCTTCCCAGAGAAAGCTGGGCTAGCAGCCTTCACCATGGGCAGAAGCAGACCCTCATGAACGACTTGCTGAAGTCACTGTCACAACTATCCCTAAGTCAGAGATGCAAAATGAGGGGTTCCAAAAGGTTAGGGGATTTGCCCAAGGTCATGGAGGGAGCGGGAACAACGTTCAGGTCTGTCTGAGGCTGAAGCCCTAGGGAGATCCCCACAACACTCATATTGGTTTGTGAATCAAAACCACCAGATGAACAGGGCCTCCGGGAGGTGACTTCTGCTCCTCTTGAGACCTCACTCTTTTTTTTTTTTTAACGTTTTATTGGGGAATAGCCATGGTCATTGGTTACACATTGCTTTCATGCTACAATGGCATAGTTGACTCTTTTAAGGAGGGCGCAGCTCACAGTGGCCCATGTGGGGATCGAACTGCAACGTTGGTGTTATCAGCACCACACTCTAAACAACTGAGCTAACCGGTCACCCCACTCTTTTCTCTTTGATGCAGACACATCCCCATCAGAAGGTGCCAACCTCAATGCAACCAACAACCTGGGTGTCAGTGCCCTGTGCGCCATCTGTGGGGACCGGGCCACAGGCAAACACTATGGCGCCTCAAGCTGTGATGGCTGCAAGGGCTTCTTTCGGAGGAGCGTGAGAAAGAACCATATGTACTCCTGCAGGTGAGGAGCCCCTGCTCAGGGCCTTGATTTTTCCAGCTGGGAAATGGGTGCACTCAGGCTAATGTTCCCCAGGGTCTGGCTTCTCCCTGACTAGGTCCCAGAAGCAACTGCTCTTCAAGGCCTTCAAGGCTCTTCTGGTTTCTTAGGCCTTGTGGATCCAGATGGGAACAATTATTCTAGGGATCTCATTCACTGATCATATAGCTATCAGCTGCCCTTTATTGAGCACTTCCTCTGTGTAGACACCATACTACGTCTTTGCATGGATATATTTAACTGACCCTACAACCCCATTTTATTTTTCCTATTTAGCAAATGAGGATCCATGAGACTTAAGATCAAGGCTCCTCTGAAGCCTCAGAGGATGGGGCGCATCCTCCAAAATGGTGCTTTTTCTGGGGCAAATAGAGCATTGGTCCTGGCCTTTCCACCTACCCCAAGGGCTTTGCAAAGCCTCAGAGAGCCCCCCTTCAGAGCATCTCCCATTCTGAGTGACAACAACAATAAAATAATAGCAGTTGTTAGTTATGAGTGCTTGCCATGTACAGATACTGTGCCAGGCTCCATCCATGCATTATTTCATTTTCACCTGTCAATGCCCCGCTGAGGTGGTTGCTATTCTTATTCCCACTTTATAGATGAGGAAGCTGTGGCTTAGACAGAGCTTGGAATTTGCCCAAGGTCACCCAGCGTGAGTGAATGCAAAACCCTGTTGATGCTCAGGGCCCTGCCCGTAACCACTGTGGGGCACTGCCTCTGCTTATATCCCCCTCCATAGAGTGGCTGGCTCATGTGGACCAAGGGTTTACTCTGAGCCATAACCAGGAGCCCACTCTGGACTCTGGGCTATTACAGGATGTGGTGGAAAAGCAGGGCTTTAATACTCAAAGGGCTACGGTTCCCAGCTTGGCTCTACCACCAGGCTGAGTGATCTGGGTCTACATGTTGCTTCTCTGAGCCTCAGTTTCCCCACATTTAATAGGACAGGGTTTGGACTCTTACAGAGTGCATAGAGCTTTGCTCTTGGTTAGCATGAGAACTCCTGGAATGAAGGGTTAGAGCAAGGCGGCTGGGGGTCGACCAGATGGCCAGGGTTCTAGTTCCATCCTGGGAGTGGGAGAGCTGTCTGTTCTCCATCCAACCATCCAAAGTCTTCCCCAGATTTAGTCGGCAGTGCGTGGTGGACAAAGACAAGAGGAACCAGTGCCGCTACTGCAGGCTCAAGAAGTGCTTCCGGGCTGGCATGAAGAAGGAAGGTGAGCCTGGGCCCTCCCCTTACCACCCCACTGCCCCACCCGCACCCACAGCTCTCACAGTCATTTACAACTGTAGCCACAACTTTATGACTCGGTGACAGGCCCCAGGGTGGCTGGCTAATGGCTGAGAGGAGGAAGGGCCTGGAAATCTGACCATAGGGAGGGGCTGGGCTTGGTCTTGAGAAAAATGTGAAGAGATAAGCTCCCACTCTCAGCTACTCAGGCTCCCAGCCACCACCACTCCTGCCCGCCTTCACCACGACAAGGCAACCAAGTTGGGCATTTTTTCTTTAGCTCCTATTTCAAACATTAGGAAAAGTGTAGAGAAGGACATCACAAATGTCCATGTACCCACCACCCAGACATAGCACCCATGGATGTGGGGGGCTCTATTCCTGTGCTTCTTGGGCCCGGGACAAGTACCCCAGTTGCTTAGTTCTCATTCTTGAGTATCAGGTGATTCACAGTTTATGAGGCGCCGGACTTGTCCTGGGGGGAGGCGGTGGGGAAGACCAGGGTACAATATTTATTAAGGTCTCTCCAGGTCTCCTGCTACCAGCAGACACCCATCCCCGGGCCGCGCTTTCCCACGATGGATAGTTCCTTCGGTTCTTACGACAACCCTGTGTGGCCGGCACTATTACTATTCCCCCTTTTCATGGATGGAGTAACTAAGGCCCAGAATCTTTCAGCAACTTGCCTAAGGCCTCACAGCTGGTCAGTGCGAGATCTGGGGTTTAAACCCAGAGCTTCAGACTTGAGCTCAGTGCTGTTCAGACGACACCTCCATGCTGCCTACTTTGGCCCTCCAGATCTCAGGAACGTTTACAATTTTTTCAACCCAAGCCCAAGGAGCAAAAGTCCTTTCACTGCTTCCCAAAGTAACTTGAGTTCATTTTCAAATCCCTTCATCTTCCTCTCCCCTCAACTCACCTTTCCCAGCTCTGGGACCAGCCCGCAGACCTTCACTCCTCGCCCATAACTGTGGCACTCCACCCAAACCCTTGGTGCAGTCCTGTACATCTCCCACCCCCACCCCGCCCCACAGCAGGAACCTGGGACCCAGCCTGCCTGAGTCGGCTAAGGAGGGGAACCCAGTTTGGGCAGCCTCCCCTCCCCTGTCTCTGCCTCTGAGCCCCTGTTTTCTCTGCCCCCTCCCTAGGAAATATTTTCTGTGTCTCATCCCGACAGGGCCTTGGTTTGAGCCCAGGAGTCTTGTTGGCAAACCTGATCCTGCTGACCCTAATGAAGAAGTGAATGGTCTCCATGGCCCCTTCTGCTCTCAACACCACAATTCTATAGAGCATCCAGACCTCAGTGGTTCTCAAAGTGGGGAAAGGGCCTTTTCAAAGGGCAAATACCCCCCCCACACACACACACACACCTCTCCCCTACCCAGTGTTCACAGGGGTTGAGTCTCACCTCCAAGCTGGGACCCACTCTGGAATGAGAAATGTTAGAAATGAGCATGTGATATCTATATAAACAGCTGGCGGCAAGAGAAAGATTGAGAACTATAGTCTAAAGGGTCTAAGAGTTTATGGTTCTAATAGTAGTTTTATTACCCCCAACAGCCTAAAATTTTAGGTTCCAGAGGATGAATCTCTTATGTTAAAATTTCACAGCCTGTGACAGGCAGGTTGGAGAAGGGTTGGCAGCCTTCCTAGGCTGTATGTAACCTGGTCCTGCTGTGGTCCATCTTTATAGATGTCTCCTGTTAAACATCCAGTCATTTCCACCTGTGTCACTTCAGAGGTGTTTCTGCCCGTTCTGGACTCCAGGTTTCCCACCTATGAAAGGAGGGGGTTGGTATTGATTCCCTCCAGCTCTGTAAGCCTCACCACAGACACCGGGACATGTGTGTGTGTTCCCTGGTCCTCCCCCTGAGTTGCCAAGGAGGCACAGGCCCTGGACGGGCAGCGAGAGCTTCAGGCCATTCCGCCGTAGCTTAGCCTTGAAAAAAGCCATTGCTGCTTGGCTCAGGGAAGGTGGCGTTATGCCAGGAGGATAGGAGGACGGGCTGATGTCAAGTCAGAGTGGGCTAGTAAATGCTGGTGCTTATTTACATGCCTGGGTTACCTGGGAGATCATGACACGTGCCAAGTGTTGCTTGGTTGCTTTGAGAATCGGCCGGGATGGCCAAGTGTCAGTTGCCACTGTGGTCAGGCTCTGGGAAGTGAGGGTATTACTAGTTCTACCTAAGTCTTAGAGTCCTACCACCTCTCCCCAGCCCGGTGGGACGTTCCCAAAGCCAAGGGCAAGCCTCAGGGACCTGGAGAGTTGGCGCAAGGTTTCATTTCTCTTCCTTGAGGGCCTGAGCGGGATGTAGGCACTAAAACCCAAGAGGGGTCTGTTGTGTGGTAATGGATGGTCACTAGACTTTTGAGGATGACCACTTTGTAGAGTATACAGATGTCGAATGATAGCGTTGTACACCTGAAGTGTCTATTTAAAATTAAAAAGTAGTCCTTGAGGACACGAAGGCATAGGCTGCAAACATAAAACTTAGAGACTAGCCAGGTGCATGCGAGTTCATCAGATCTACCCCGTCCCCACTTTACAGATGGGGAAATTGAAGCCAGAGAGGTGACGTCGATTGGGTCCAGGGTGGAGTCAGGACTGGAACTCAGGTTCCCAGAGCTGGGCAGGCACCAAGCTCTTGGGATTGAACCCGGAAGGGACTAGCCTGGGAGGTATGTTCTCAGGTCTAAATTCCCAAAGATCCTTTTGACCACAGGGAAGGGCTTCAAATCTCATAGGCCTGTGAGTCTTGGTCAGAGGTGGGTTCCCCAAAGTGACAAAGACTCTGAGGAGAAACCTGGAGGTCGATGGGCCCAATAGCAGACCGAGAATTATTTCCTATAACCCGACACCTACCTGGGCCTCAGCTGGTGGAGGACCCAGGACAAATGTGAAGCTCCTGGCATCAGAAACCCAGCCCAGGAAGCAGGGCTAGGGGTGCAGGAGGTGCGGGCTGGTGAAGGGCCCTTCCTTGGAAGTCCAGCCCAGCCCCCCATGGGCTCCCATCAGGGGTTCTCATCCTCCTCTCTGCCTCTGCCCAGGTTGGTTAATATTCAATAGAAGTTACATTAGGTCCCCGACCCTGCTAATACTGAGCAAACATTTGGAAAACATCATTCCGTGACTGAGCTCGCGCCGGGCACTGATAAGGCTGGCCTAACCTTGAGGAGCCCAATCCGCAGCTGCTGACAGCAGCCCTTTTATTCGCCCGCCTCCACTCGGCGCCCCTGTGGGTGCGGGCAGCCGCTGTGGGAGGGGTGTTGGCAGGCAGGGCGGGGCTCCAGCTGGGAGCGGTGGTGCCCGGGAGCCGGCCCCATGCAGGGTGGTGGATCTCAGAGGAGATTTCTTACCTGGGAACTTCTAGTTTATCCCACTGAACCCTGGATCCCTTTAGACTGACTTTCACGCTCTGGTTTCAACAATATATGAAATCCTGAGAAAGCTGACTAGCTGGGTTGTCGCTGTTCCACCGAGGAACAGGCCATAGGGTGCTCCCAGGCATTCGAGCTTGTCTCCTCCTCCAGCACCTTCTTTCATCCCCTCAACGTATATTTATTAAAGACATGAACAAAGAGTCCTACAGTAGGTGCCAAGGGCAGAGCATGAGTGAGGGAATGCCACATCAGACAGGGTGGCCAGAGAGGGGGGCTCTGAGAAGGTAACATTTGCACGGAGGCAGGAGTGACGCACAGAAGCAGCTAAGCCACGGAGGACAGAGGACTCCAGGCAGTGGGAATAGCAGAGGCAGAAGGCCTGATGGAGAGTGACAGGGTGTGTCCGAGGAGCAGCGGGGGCAGGTTTGGGGGACAGAGTGAGTGAAGATGGGAGAGGAAGGACCACGGGGAGGAGTTGTGATGTGACTCCGTGTGAGATGGGGAGGCATTGGTTTTGACCAGTGGAGGGATATGAGCTGAGTTCAGTTTTAACAGATCCTTTGTCTTCTGAGAGATGCATAGATTGTAAGGGCAAGGCCAGAGGCAAAGGGACCAGTGAGGAGGGCATGGACTATTCCAGGGGAGAGAAGGCAGGGCCCAGACAGAGTGGGAGCCAAGGATGGATTCTGTAGGGATTACTGACAGCATTTGGGGTGTGAACAGAGGTGGTATGTGACAGAAATAGAGGTATAAACGGGACTTCCGGGTGGGCAGTTGGAGAGTAGACCTACCTGTTCCTGAGATGGGAGAGACTTATAGGTGGGAAAGCTTACAGGTGAGGAAACTGAGGCCCAGAGAGAGATGGTAATTCCTATCAGCATGCAGAGAGTGAGTGGCAATTCCAGACAGGTCACCAGGTCACCTGTCGCCTTGTCCCCCCTCCTTCCAGCTGCAGCCAAGCCTCGTGCCACATTGAGGCCTCTCAGACTCCAAGGGACAGGGTCGGGGAAGTAGAAGGTCCATCTTACATCTTAGGGACGTGCATTGGGGTGTGGGGTCCTGGTGGACAGAGGTCCCGGATCTCGGTTCCTGGGAGACAGCCCGGCAGTGGGGCAGTAGGGAGGCGGCATTCCCTTGCTGTCTCCGAAAAGGTTGTTCTGGGGCACCTGCAGCTCCTGCTGGTCAATGAGACCTCCAGGGCAAGTGGGGGCCTCCAGGTCCCCTTGTCCAGGCCTTCTGCCTCCGTGTACAGGAATCCCTGAGCCATGTCGTGTCACTCAGAGGAATTCATTTTGCTTGTTTTACACACTTTCATCTGGGAAGAAAGGAACCCTTTTCCAAAACAGAGCTTGAAAATCTGTCATCTAGACGGATCCCTTTTTCAATGCTCAAGACCCACCTTAAGCCCTCTGCCAAGTCATCATGATCTTGCATGCCTCCAGTGTTGGGTGGATTGCAGTCACTATGTTGTGTGGGGAGCAGTTCTGGCGCTGGGAGAGTTCTTCCACAAGCTGGGTTACAGCCCATCGGCCCTCATTCCCACGCGCTGATCTGGGCTCTGCCCCCTGAATGGCCCCTTTCCTATGCCTACCCCCAACTGTGCCTCCTTCTCTTCAGGACAGCCCCACAGAATCTCTTTCTGGGTTGAACGCTCTCCCCTTGCACGTCACCCACTCCGCATCAGTCATGTGACAACCCCTCTCTCCGCCGCACCCCTGCCCTCTCTCCTCACCTCTCTGCCATCCTCACAGCCGTCCAAAATGAGCGGGACCGGATCAGCACTCGCAGGTCAAGCTACGAGGACAGCAGCCTGCCCTCCATCAATGCGCTCCTGCAGGCCGAGGTCCTGTCCCAGCAGGTACTGGGGTGACCCCTCCACCCACCTGGGGAACCCCCACACTGAAGAGGAGTCCCACCTCCACCCTGTCCTCCCCAGCCAAGTCCTGGAGCAGCAGCTAGAAGGGCCTTCAGATATCACAGAAGGGAAACTGAGTTCAGTGTCACACAGCCAGTTTAGTAGCAAAGACAATACGAACCCAGGTCTGGCATTCTGGGGCGCTTTCTAGGTCATCCTGAAGCCTGCGTTGTGCAGGCCAAGCAGGATCTTTGCTTCCACCAAGGGCCTGAGATCAGCTTAGCCCCAAGAGAACTGCAGTGAATAAGTGGACTGGGTAGAAAACTGGGACTCAGCCAACCTCTTGCTGTGTGGCCTTGGGCAAGTCACATCACCTCTCTGGGCTGTGGTTTCTTCATCTATCAGATGAGGATGATGGCTTTTGCCCTGCTTCTCTCCTAGGGCTGAGGGGTTCCTTGGGGTTCTAAGGAGCTGGTGGTGGGGGAGGTGGGGGTAAACAGCAGGTGAAGGCCCAGAGGAAGCCTCCTCCCTCTCATCTGCCTTCTCCTTCCTTCTGTCCGTTTTCCCTTGAACTTGCCCCAGAGCCCATCTCCCCTTTTCCAGGCAGGGCAATTACCTGGGGAGGGGGCTGTGTGCAGGGTCCGGCCTTCTCCAGCATTTTCCTTCATCTCCCCCCAGATCACCTCCCCTGTCTCCGGGATCAACGGAGACATTCGGGCAAAGAAGATTGCCAGCATTGCAGACGTGTGCGAGTCCATGAAGGAGCAGCTGCTAGTGCTCGTCGAGTGGGCCAAGTACATCCCGGCTTTCTGCGAGCTCCCCCTGGATGACCAGGTGAGGGCGGAAATGGACTGCGGGCAGGGGGGGACACTGGGCAGGAGAGTCCTGCTGGCCCACCTGGGATATAGCCTTGGACTGGTTTGATTGTATTTGTTTAAATTGCTTTGCAAACATTAACTCATTTAATCCTTCCAACACCCCTCTGAGGTAGTGCTATTATCATTTCCATCTTATAGGTGAGGAAACTGGGGCACAGAGAGGTTAAGTAACTTGCTAAAGGTCACACAGCTAGTATCCGGCAAAGCTGGGATTAGAACTGAGCAGTCAAGCTCCAAAGTCCAGGCTCCTAGCCGCTGCACCACTGCACAGGGCCCCTCTCTTGGGGGATGTTGACAGGGGCCCAGGGCCAGGGATCAGGATATTTGGGCTTGAGTCCTGGTTTTAAGACTGGTTCTCTGTGTGACCTTGGACAAATTACTTCCTGTCTCTGAGTCTCAGTTTTCTTATCTGTAAAATGGGAATTATATAAAACCTGCTTCAGAAAGTTGTTGGAAGGACTGGGGACATTACCGTTTGAAAAGCGTAAATCGTATAATGATCACCTCCACAGTGCCCGGGCCACAGCTGCCTTCCCTAAATGTCAGTTTCTTCCTTATATCCCACCAAGGTAGATTAACTCAGCATTTTCTTTCTCAGAGTACATTCTCTGGAATACCAAAAATGTCCCAGGGGCTGCAAGGGGGCTGATGGGAGGCAGGGGAGTCTGAGGACAAATGAGTTTCTGAGATATTGCAAATGAGAGCTCCTGCCCAGGGTGCCGCTTACATCTCAGCAGCCATTTTCCCATCCGGGAAAGGACAGCTGAGCTGGGTCACCTTCTCAGCTCTGAGGGAAGCTCGGGAACACAAGTGGACAGGCCCTAGACATCGCTCCTGGGGCATTTGCTTCTGTTTTGCATTTGCACCAAAGACTGGGAACGCATATCTGTCTATTACAGTTTCTGAGAAGCCCTACAGGCAAGGCAGCTGTTGAACTTTGTGGAGCTCAGGGCTTCTGAAACCCCTTTGATGCCCACACTCTCCTGGAACACTTATTAGCATCTCATGGGGAACATACTGTGCAAAAGCTGGTTTGGCTGGTCCTCTGCCTCGTGCTGGGGGCTGGATCAGACACCCTCTCACCTGGATTCCTCTCGCGTTGGGAGGGATGACAGGGCAGGGACCCTGGCCGAGCTGCCCCTGCCTTCTCCCCTGTTCCTCGTGTTCTGGCCCTGGTCCCCTCTGCTGGAGAGTCTACATTAATGTTTAATCGCTTCTGTTCCTTCCCAGGGGCTCAGCAGGGCGACAAGATACCCCCAAGCTGAGCAATTGTTAACCTCGATTTCCCACCCAGACCTCCCTGGCTGGGGCTCAGAGCATTCTCAGAAAGCAGTGATGGGTGGCCAATAACACCAGACAATGATTAACACCACCCCCTCCAGCTGCCCACCCCCAGAACAGCCGCCATGTCAGGGGGCTGGACCCGGGGCCAGGAGGGTTCCCGGCTCCCCATGAGCCCATCTTGCCTGAGATGGTGGGGCACCCTGGGAGAATTGGGGGGGGCACTGTCCTCTCAAGGATACCCCAAATCTATTGATTGACATTGCCTCAAGAACCACCTTCTAAGTTTGTTTGCTTCTTGACTTGTTTGGACATCAAAAATTGAAACCTAGAAGTCTGGGTAGCATCGGATAAGGGGACTGAGGCCTAGAGAGGGAAAGTGATTTGCCCAAGGTCCCAGAGCAAGGCAGCCACAGAGCTAGGGTTTGATGCCAGGTTTGAGAGCCACTGGGGTAAGTGACAAAGGCCCTGCTCAGTACCCAGGTCAGAGGAAGTGCTCTGTCACAAGCATCCTTGGCCTCCCTTTGACCTGCTCACAGGAAGTAGACTCTAACCTCCAAGGCCCTCTGCGTTTCTCCTCTTGTCCTGTCATCCTCCCAAAATTTAACCACCGGGGAATAGAGGAGGTAAGGACAGGTGGATGCCCAGGAGGGGCTGGATCTGGAGAGGAAGTTAAATAGTTTGTCCTTCCTCCCTTCATTCGAACGAATATTTATTGAATGCTTACTATGTGCCTTGGAACAATGTCTAAGGCCTCCTTAGAGAGGCCTTCGCTGACTTCCCCATCGAATGTAGCCACTCTTGCCCCGCTGCTCTTTATTATACTCGTATAACCCTCGCCTTCCTTTCTTCTTCCCTCCCTCCTTCCCTTCCTCTCTCCTTCCCTTCCTCCCTCCTTCTTTCCCTCCCTCCCTGCTTTTCTTTCCTTTCTCTATGATGTCACTTAGTAAACCCTTAACATTTGATGACTGAAAGAATGAACACTCAAACGAATTAATGAACAAAAGCATTTTTACCTCATAGTTTAGCCTGCTAAAACCCCTCCAAACTCCGTAACCTAGCCTTGCAGGTAAGACCCTTGAGGCTACCAGCCGCCTGCTGTTTTTACCAGCCCATCCTTGGGTCCTCATTCAAGCATGGAAGCTGATGGCTCTGAAGGGGCAGGTGATGTCCGCCTATGCGTTGGCTGGGCTCCTACCTCGGACTTGTCTTCCAAGTCTTGTTCTCTCTGCAGGGAGGCAGTCTGTCAAGCTCATCCCCTGCCAAGGCTCATGCCTTGGCCTTTGGAACCAACATCCACGTTCAAATTCTTATCATTCACTCTCAGAATCCTAGAGCCTTACAATGTCAAGTGGGCAGATGCCCTGGAGAGCTGGAGCAGATTTCTCAAGCACAACCACTGGGGAGCTTGTTAAATCCAGATCCTTGGGCCCACACCATATATACAGAACTAGAGCCCCTGGTGGTAGGGCCTAAGAATCTGCATTTTTATAAAACACTCTTCATAATCTTTCATAGCTGGTCTGTGGGTAGGAATTCAGGACCCACAGTTTCAGAACTTTTGGGGTCATAGACCCTCTTTAGTGTCTGATGAAAGCCTTCGCGCCTCTCCTGCAAAAAAAACACACCCAGAATATTGTTACAGTTTCACCAGGCACACAAGTGAGGGATAGAGGGAGCGGCAACTTGCCCAAGGACACCACCGTTCAAGGACAAAGTCAGCATTTGGTCTCCCATCTCTGAGTGCATGTTCTTTCCCCTTCCGGTTCCTGCTGAATCATTTCTGGGTCCCTGGCTTTATCAGTTATGGGAAGAAGGCAGCAGGTTTCCAATGTCCATGTTATAGTTCAGACACTAAAGGCAAGGGAAGCCTTAAGTTGAGTTGCCCAGGGTCACTGAGTTGGCAGGGAGCAGCCTTCCCAGGGGTGCAGATGCCAGACACCACTCCTTCTCTTTTCCAGGTGGCCCTGCTCAGAGCCCATGCTGGCGAGCATCTGCTGCTCGGAGCCACCAAGCGGTCCATGGTGTTCAAGGACGTTCTGCTGCTAGGTGAGGGGGCTGCCTGCCCAGCCAGGGCCCTGTGGAGGGTGTGCCCAGTGTGGCACCCACCTGGGCACAGCAGAGGTCCCGGGTGGCATGTAGCGGCGAAGTAGACAGGTCAAAAATGGCCCTGTCGCCAGTGTTTTCAACTGGATACTCCACTCAGATGCAAGGATATATGGGATGCAAGGAGCTGAAGTTCCCAGCATTGAAGTTCACGCACAGTCAGGGCTGTCCCTGGAATTATGTGTGCATTCTGATGTGCTTTCTAGAGTAGAAGCAAGAGGTGGCCAGAGATGACACAAACCTCAGCCTGTGTCACTTATGCCTTCGTGGCATGTTCATTTATTATTCTAAATTCTTATATAGCTCACACTATGGGCCAGATAGTAGTCTGAATACTTTACAAACATTAACTCTTTTAATACAACAACCCTATGAGGTAAGGTCTGTTATTTATCTTCATTTTACAGATGGAAAAAACTGAGGCACAGAAAGTAATTTATCCAAATATGCCTGGCTTGTTAGTGGTAGAACCACTATCCAACCTGGGCAGTCTAGGTCCAGAATCTGGGCCATTACCCATGATGCTTTGGTGCCTCCCAAGTGAGCCTTGAATGTCATCAGTCTTGTGGGAGAATGGAGCTTGGGTGATATGAATGGGTCCTAGAAAGCCAGGCTTCACGCCCAGTCCAATGACTTCAAGCAACTCATTCCTTTACATCTGGGCCTCAGTTTCGTCATCTGTAAAATGGGCATGGCCATCGCCATGGTCCCCTTCTCCCATGGACACCAGCTACACTGCAGCTGCAAAGGGCAGGGCCTGTCCAAAGCTAAGGTCAAGGGGTACACCCAAGGTGGCTTCCCCATCTGCCTCCTTTCCAACCCATCCAGGCAATGACTACATCATCCCTCGGCACTGCCCGGAGCTGGCGGAAATGAGCCGGGTGTCCATGCGCATCCTCGACGAGCTGGTGTTGCCTTTCCAGGAGTTGCAGATCGATGACAACGAGTACGCCTGCCTCAAAGCCATCATCTTCTTTGACCCAGGTACAGCCCACACCCCCACCCATCCCTGATGCTGCAGACCCTCTGTCAAACTTCTACTGAGTTACGTTCCCTGAGTTCACAACCTCATCTCTTTAGTACAACAACTGGAAGAGGTCGTTTTATTAGGTCCATTTAACAGATGAGGAAAACCAAGGTGTAAAGGGATGATACGACACGACAGGGTACACTGACTCCAGAGGCTTGGATTTTTTTTTCTTGCCTTATTTTCCTTTCCTTCTCTCTCCTTCCTTCCTATCTTCCTTCTTTTCTTTCCTTTCACCTTTTCCTCAAAACATTGCATCAAAATCATATCTGCACATCCTTAAAATGCAGATAGCCCTTCCTACCCCCTTTTTGCCGCTAAAGTCCATTCCTCGGGGGGAACCAGTTCTGATTCTTTTAATGGTTTCTTCTGGCAGTTACCTTGAGCTCTAACTAAAAGGCGAAGCCTACTCTTTCTTGATTTATCTATTTTAGATTGTGGTTTTCCTCCTATGTTAGCGGACGATTTCACTTTGCTCTCCCACCACTCCCATCTTCTCTCCCCCATTCTCTTAATATATTTTCATGGCGATTTTAGTGTCTCTATTGCTTGCCTTTATAATGTTGCTATGTGCTTACGCCTTTGTTTCTTGTTCTATCAACTGTAGACTGTATCTTCTAATCCTTCCCTTGGTAGGATGAAGATACAGTAGTCCCCTCTTATCCACAGTTTTGCTTCTTGTGGCTTCAGCTACCTGCGGTCAACCTCAGTCCGAAAATATTAAATTAAAAATTCCAGAAATAAAGCATTCCTAAGTTTGAAACTGCATGCTGTTCTGAGTGGCATGATGAAATCTGGCTCTGTCCTGCTCCATCCTGCCAGGACATGGGTCAGCCCTTTGTCCAGCGTATTCACACTACATATGCTATCTGCCTGTTAGCCACTTAGCAGCCAACTCGGCTATCAGGTCAACTGTCCCAGCACTGCAGTGCTTGTGTTCAGTTAACCCTTATGTTACTTAATAATGGCCCCAATGCACAAGCGTAGTGATGCTGGCAGGTCAGACATGCCGAAGAGAAGTCATAAAGTGCTTCCTTTAAGTGAAAAGGCAAGTACAGTACAAAAAGGTATTGTACAGACACCACATTCACATAACTTTTATCACAGTATATTGTCATAATTGTTGTATTTTAATATTAGTTATTGCTGTTAATCTCTTACTGTGCCTAATTTGTCAATCACACTTCATGATAGGTATGTATGTATGTATAGGAAAAAACATAGTATACAGAGGGTGCCAAAAAATATATACATGCACATTTTAAGAAAGGAAAAAACTGTATTAAAATTGTTATACTCAATATATACCGATAACAAAAGATGAAGGCAAGTCATGTGTATACATTATTTTGGCACCCCCGGTATATAGGGTTCGGCACTATTTGTGGTTTCAGGCATCCACTGGGGGTCTTGGAATGCATCTTCTGCGGTAAGGGGGGACTGCTGAATTGCATCCCCACCCTTTCCTTCAGCTCTTGGTTCTCCTCTTCCCGTTCCACCTGCTGACTTTCCACCTTCATTTTTATAAGACGTCTTTGTGCAAAGTCTGAGTTTATTGCACAATGTCAAAATGCCTGGGCCCCCAAAGGCTTGCTTGCTTCCTTCCCTCTGACATGTTAGAAAAGACCTACTGTGTGCCAGGCGCTGTCCTTAGTGCTAGGTCTCACCTGCAAACAGATCCCCTCTAGTAGTAATAGTAATGAAGAAGAAGATGACCTCCATTTGTGGAATGCTCACTAAGGCATTGTTCTAAACACTTTATGTGGATTATCTTATTTATTACTTGCAACATGATACCGGTGAGGTAGGAATTATTACCCCCATTTTGCAGACTAGAAAACTGAGGCATAGAGAGATTGATTAATTTGCCCAAGGTCATACAACCAGGAAATGGCAGAGCTAGGATTTGGATTTCAGACTATGCAACTGTCAAGCCCACGTTCTCACCTACCACACACTAGTCCCCATTTTCTAAAGGGTAAGATTTTTAGTTCTAATTTCCTTGAAAGCCTGGCCCAGACTGTATCCCCTGCGGTGCTCAGCACGGGGCTAGACAGAATAATTGCTCAGTAAAATGTGCAGAATTACTGATGCTGAGTCAGGGTCAGCAACCTGGCTTGGAGTAGTAAGTGGTCCAGTATAGGGCCTGGCATGCAGGTGGTGCTCAATTAATGTTTGTTGACTGAATAAAAGACTACACAAACATGGTTCAATGGAGAGAGCCCTGGACTGGAAATGTGGGTGAAATTCTCTTTCTGCCACTTACTTTAGTATATAAATGCATTGTCTCCCTGAAGTTTGAGATTATCTATTGGATGACCTCCTTGAGGTTAAGGATGTAGAATTTATCCATTGATTTTCCCCCCCCTCACTCATTCATCTTTCGGTTCATCTACCCATCCCTTTATTTAGTTATCTATTCAACGACTATTGACTATACATGGTGCTAGGTGGTGGGCTTCAAATGACAAATGAGACATATGTCTGCCTACACTGAGCTCACAGTGGAAGAGACAGTTGCATCCTGTGTGGTCAGTAGTAACGGAAGAGGCACAGAAATTTGGGGACATGATAGACACTTACAATGCTGCCTTTCCTTGCCTGCCTCCTCCCATTGCAGATGCCAAGGGGTTGAGTGACCCAGGAAAGATCAAGCGGCTGCGGTCCCAGGTGCAGGTGAGCCTGGAGGACTACATTAACGACCGCCAGTACGACTCGCGTGGCCGCTTCGGCGAGCTGCTATTGCTGCTGCCCACCCTGCAGAGCATCACCTGGCAGATGATCGAGCAGATCCAGTTCATCAAGCTCTTCGGCATGGCCAAGATCGACAACCTGCTGCAGGAGATGCTGCTGGGAGGTCCGTGCCGGGCCCAGGAGGGACTGAGAGGTGGGCGGGAGCAGGGGGTCTCCCCAAGACACAAGTCTCATGCAGACGTAGGCTCACCTCTCAGCTCCATCACTTCCTCATTCTGTGGCTTTGGGCAAATCCCTTCACCTACCAGAGCCTCAGTTTCCTCATCAGGAAAATGGGGACAATGGTCCATTTATTCAAGCCCTGAGAGCCTAGCACCTGTCAGTCACTGTTCTAATAAGTGCTAGAGATTCAGCAGAGAACGAGATCTCTGCCCTCCTGGAGGTTGTGTGTGAGTGTGTGAGTGTGCATGCATGCATGTGTGTATAAGGGATTGTGGGAACAGACAATAATCAAGCATACAATAAAGAGGGTAATTACAGACTTTTAAATAGCCAGATAAAACAATAGAGCGTAACCAATAGGTTGGCCAAGGGAGTCCTCTCTGAAGTGGTGACTTTTGTGCTTAGATCTGATAGATGAAAGGAAATAAAACATTTTAAAGTCAAAAGAAAAACATTCCAGGCAGGAGTAACTAGTACAAAGATGCCAGAGGCAGGAGAAGCTAGGGTGTTCGAGGAAGAAGGATAAGGTTGTGAGATGCAGGGAGTTGTATGAGAGGAAGCTAGACATTGGGCAAAAGCCAGACGATAAGCCTATGGTTTTGTAGGCCAGTCAGAAACGCGGATTTTATTCTCAAGCAACTATTGTTAGGAGTGTAAATCAGACTAGTGTTTCACACAGACTACTCTGATTGTGGGGTAGAATGTGAATGGAGGCAGGCAGGGGGGGGGTGCAAAGTAGAGGCAGAAGACCCCTGAGAATATTAGTGTCTCCAGCCAGGGGAAGGACAATGGAGGCTTGGACTAAGGCATGGTGGAAATCTAGCAGCAGAGATCAACTTGATCGTCTGTTTGGAGGAAGAGCCCACAGGGTGTGCTGATCGATCAGATGTGGGGAGTGAGGGAAGGGGAAGAATCAAGGATGAAACCTATGTTTTTGCTTTGAGGATCAGGAATGCTGGTGGGGTCATTTATTGAGAAGAGGAAGACTGGAAAAAAAACAAAAACAGTTTGAGCCTGTGTAGGGTAGCGGTGGTGAGAGATGGACCAAGAGATCCATTTTAGACTCCAGTTAAGTTTGAGATGACGACTAGATATCCAAGTTGAGTTATCAAGGAGGCAGTTGGATGTTCGAGTCAAACACAAGCCCAAAGCTCAGGAGGAAAGGCCGCTGCATGGGGTTCCAGCAATTAGGTGCCGTGGAAAGAGATTGGAGGATGACTAGCCAGGGGGATAGGAGCAAAGCCAGGGAAATCCCAGCACCCAAGAGGAGAGCGTGTTTTAAGGAGGACAAAGCATTGAATGGTGTTCAAATCGACAAGAGGGGACTGGTGGTGTCCATTGGATTGGCAACATGGAGGCTCTTGGTGGTTGTGAAAAGCGCGGTGTCAGAAGACCGTGGGAAAGAAACCAGACTGGGAAGCGTTACAGAATGAGTGAGTGGGACAGTGAAGAAGTGGAGAGAACAAGAGTAGACAACCCTTTGAAAACATTTTCCTATGGACAAGAGCTATGAGGGAGTTGAGGACGATTGCAAGGGAGTGATTATAGTGATGGACTATGGACTCTTGGCTGGACTAAAAGAGAAATAAAGATGGGGTGATAGTCAAAAGTGGGGTCATTGAATTGGCAGCCTCAACAGGGTTGAAGACTTTTGGCCTTGATGGTACTAGATGAAGTGAACTGGAAGGATAGGAGGGGGGAATCTAAGTAAAGAAGCTTGGACTCAAGATTTTGTAGGCGATGCCATTATTGGTGATAATATGGCCAGGGTGGGGTTTCTCACCCTCAGCACTATTGATATGTGGGACTGGATACTACTTTGCTGTGGGGGCTGTTGTGTGCATTGGTTGGTCTAGCCACGTGGCCTCTACCCATGAAATCCAGTAGCACTCCTCCAGCAGTGACAACCAAAAATGTCTTCAGATATTGTCAAATGTCCCCTGAGGGGCCCAACTTACCCTCACTTAAGAAGCACTGTCATATGGTAACTCATTTCATTCTCACTTGGATCCTGTGCATATGAGGCTATTAGGAATCAGGTGTCATTGAGATCAGGATCAGGAAGCAGCTTGTGCTCTGTTGCCAGATAAACTTGGGTAAGATGTTAACCTCTCTGGGCTCTGTAATCTCATCTGGAGACTGGAATAATAATGATACCCATCCTATAGGGTTATTGTGAGGACTAAATTATGTCAAACATGAAAAGTTCTGTAAAACAGTTCCTGGCACATAATTGGTGCTTAATAATTAATAGCTATTATTGAAACACGTGTACTTTAGAGGCCTCTTGCAAGTCCTAAAATTCCATCATTGCCGTATTAGTGACCTTGGCCTGTTACGAAACCACACCCGATATGGTATTATCACTCTGACACATTTTTAGGAGCCATTACTGCATTCCAGACACATCGCTAGGCTCTCAAAGAGAGCAGCAAAGTACACCTGTAACTGTAATGTTCACCGACAGAAGAAGTGGTTGTTCCCAAAAGATGGGTTACAGAGAAATCAACTATGAGAATTCTAAGGAAGGAGAGGTTTACTTCCTACTGGAGTGGGGAGAATCTGAAGAGGCTTCCCAAAGGGGAAAATAGCTGGAATTAGGACTTGTGGACATGGAGGGTGAAGAAGGCATCTCTAGTAGAAGCAACACATGAGCGAAAGCATAGAGATTGGAAAGTACAGGACAGTACAGAGAAACACAGATGCCTTAAGTAGGTCAGGTTGGCTGAAGCAGAGGTGTGAGGATGAGACTGGAAGGTGAGTTGGGACCAAATGGTTGAAGGACTTGCGTGCCAAGGAGCTTTGAGAACCACTGATTAAATCTGTTATATTAACTTGCAGTCAGTATGCTACTCATTATAATATTTAAATGATCTCAGGGTTTCCTTACATGCTCCTTGTTTCCTTCAAATCACTGTTGTTCTCTTAGCTTGTTGGGTCCTCTCAATACCCTCATAGGGCCTATGGAGGGCAACGGTTCGCCCCAGTTTACTAGCCCATGCTTATCATTTGGTTTCTTCTCAATTTCCACCTTCATTTCATATAACGCCCCCCATCTCACAACCTTATCCTTCTTTCTCAAACACACAAACCTCTCGTGCCTCAGGGCTTTTGCCTTAGTTACTCCTGCCCGGAATGTTTTTCTCTTGACTTTTATGTATTCTATTTCCTTTTATCCACCAGGTTTTAGCACAATAAGAAACAGGGACCCCACAGGCACCGCCATAATGGATGGGCAGGTTGATGGGCCACACTTGAGCAAGACGGTGCCTCCAGGCCCCTGGTCCTTGTCCCAGACTCTCCATCCTCATTCAGTACCCGCTCTCCCTGCAGGGTCCGCCAGCGATGCAACTCATGCCCATCACCCCCTGCACCCTCACCTGATGCAAGAACACATGGCCACCAACGTCATTGTTGCCAACACGATGCCAGCTCACCTCAGCAATGGACAGATGTGTGAGTGGCCCCGACCCAGGGGGCAGGCAGGTGGGCAACTTGGGCTCTACCCAGGAAGGGGTGAGGTCGGAACCAAAGAAGGGAGCCAGGAGAAGGTTGGGTGTAGAAAACGGGAACCACAAGACAACAGTTCTCTATGCTCCAGGGTAGGCAAGGAGGAGTGAGACCGTCCATTGGTTAAGGCTGTTAGTCCGTGAGATGATTGACAGCCTCTGCTGAATGAAGCTGTCCTTTGGATGAGAGAATCCACTGGATGAGGCTGCAAAGTGGCTGAGGATGTTCACTGGGGTGAAAATTCCATTAGGTGTTGTCCGCTAGGTAAAATTGTTCATTGAGTAAGGCTGCTCGATTGGGTGGGGCTATCCATTAGACAGTTGGGTGAGACTGTTCATGGGGTGGGGATGTCCACCGGGCTAGACTCTTCTCTGAGGTGAAATCTCACATGAGTGAGCTTGTCCATGGGCAAAGTTCTTCAAAGAATAAGATGATCACTGGGATGAGGCGGTCCAGTAAAATGAGCTTTCATTTCCTTGAGATTGTTCTTTGGGAAAGTTGCCCATTGAGTAAAACTGGCCAAGTGGGTCATGGTCAAAGTGACTTTCTGAGCCTGTGATGGGGGTGAGGCCAACTGGTTTCTGTTACTCACCTACCTAAATATCAGAGAAATGGTATTTTTTTTAAGCCAGTTAGCCAAACCCTTGGTTCTCCACGGTTGCTCTTTCTCTCTAAGGAAGGGTGTTCCTGTCACAAGTCCCATTGTCCTTGGGGAGAATCGGACTTGGGCCCTGGTTTGGGAGAAGGAGCCCACATCTCCATATCAAATGGAGATGGGGTTTAGTAGGGTAGGACCTGGGAAAAGGCTGTGACCACAGAACCTGACCGGCCACAGCTTTCCAGAGAGGAAAGTTCCATGGAACTTAGACTATGATATGGGATGCAGTAGGTTTGAGTTGTAAGAGATCTTAGAGATTATCTAATTTTATTCGCTCATTTTATAGAAGGGGAAACTAAGCTCCAGAGAGGGAGAAGAACTTGTCCAGGGCTCTTCATTTATTCTCCAAAGGGCTGGAATTCTGAACAGCCCCTGTCTGTCTCTCTGTCCCTCCAGCCACCCCTGAGACTCCACAGCCCTCACCGCCAGGTGGCTCAGGGTCTGAGCCCTACAAGCTCCTGCCAGGAGCCATCGCCACAATCGTCAAGCCCCCCTCTGCCATCCCCCAGCTGACTATCACCAAGCAAGAAGTCATCTAGCAAGCCGCTGGGAGACAGGGGCTCTGCTGGCCTCCCAGCCCCCTCAGAGAGCCCCTGGATGGTCACTTGGTCACAGTGAAAGAAGCTGTGACAACAGGGCCAGTCCCAGAGCAGTAATGGAAAGGGCAGAGGGCCCAAGACCTTGGGCTGCAGGCCACACCCCATTGCCAACCTCCAGCCCTGCTCTGGATGATGGGGCTTTACCTTGGGGAGACCCCAGCTGGAAAATCCTCTGCTGCCTTGGACAACTTTTCTCTTGCTGAAGCCACTGCCTACCCCTTCATCCATATGTACCCCCAACTTCTTCACCCCCAAAGGACTGCTGCTTGGAGGCGACACGAGACCTTGCTTAAACGCAACTCCCTCCCCCTTCAGACTGGCACTTCTTCTCTCCTAGTGCTGTCATAGTGTCCAGACACAGAGGGCCCTTTGAGGCCGGGTCGGATTGTGACCCCTTACTCCTCCCTGCTCTGCTACCCCAGCCGCCAACGCTCCTCTCCACGTGCCGCAGTCACCTTCCTCTGCCATTTCAGTTTCTCCAAAGCCACCTCGCCAGAAGCTGAGGAAGACGTGGAAACAATTCCTCCAGTGTTTAAAGCACTGACTGGGGCTAGGCACCGTGTAGGAGATTGTTGAGAAGAAAGACACATTTCTCCTCCCATTACAGCTCTTCCCTTCTTCAGGGACTTGGGTGGGACCCTTGGGTGGATCCCTTGGGTTGGAGTGATGATCTCTAGAGGCTTTCAACAATGAGAGAACAATCTGAGGTGGGCAACCTCAACAGGAGCTTGGAGGGGCTGGAGTGGTGAGAGAAAGCATCCAGAAAGGGGCAGACTGTGCACTAGGCCCTTAAGGAAGGGTTGAATTCTGCAGGTGAAGCAGGTGAGACAGGACATTCCAAGGGAAGGCAAACAACCTGGGCAAGGCCTGGAGGTCAAAGGAAGGGTGTGGGAGGGAGGCGGTGAAAAGACAGGGCTGCCTGGAGCAGAGTGGGCGTGCTGGACAGCCTGAGGACTTCGGATACCAGGCAGAGGCACTGAGACTTGGGTTCCTGGGCCCTGAGCAGCTGTGCAGTGAGGGATATGCAGTGAGTTGAGCTTTCAGAAGCTGAAGACAACAGTCCTACAGAGGTTGAAAGTTTGGGAGGGGGCAGGGAGATCAGATGGGGGCTGCTGATGTAATCCAGGTGAGAGAGATGAGGTTTGGGGACGGAGAAAACAGATGGGTAAATCCTCAGGTTAGAGTGATATCAAGGAGGAATTAGCCACCGGGGCCTGTCTCAAGCTGGTCCTTATTCCCAGAACTGTCTTACGGCCCTTTGATCCTCTTTATGACCCAGAGATCGGTACAGAAGATGAAATCGAGATCTAAGAGGTTCAGTGATTTTTCTGGAACTTCCAGAGGTAGCAAGTGACCAAGTCAGGATTTGATCCCAGGTCTGCCTGGACTAGAGCAGGAGCTCTTAACCACGATGGCTGAACATCTTCACCGAAAGGGCCCTTCTGTCCTCGCAGTGACGGGGACACTCTCTGTCCACTCTGTCCTCGGCTTGAGGAACTTCCTGTCCCCTTCACCAGCCTCAGAAGCCAAAACTTCATCCTTCCCAAGAGCCCACACCCAGGTCTAAGCTCGGCATGAGGATGCACTAAAATCCAGTTAGGGTCCAGAATCTTGTTTGCTGGTAAACAAGGAGAATTCATAACTCTTGAACCCCTTTTCTCTCCTTACTCCCCAACTCTGGGGAAGAGGCACCAGGGCTCTGGTTCTCGAAGACAGACCAATGTAGCCTGGCATTCCAGGAGTGGGACCATTTGGGTGGGGGCAGGGACGAGGTCTGGGTTTGAGACCTGCTCTGGGAAGCATAACTCAGGGTACATTCTGGAACTATGAAACCCCAGGAGGGAACAACCAGCGCCTCATCCACGCAGAATCTTGGTAGCGTTGGGAAATTTTTGAAAAATGCCACTTGCCAGTGGGAATTGGGGTCATCATGCCAGGCCATCACGTTGTTCCCACTGTTTGCTCCCTCAGCCCACAGGTGTTGCTCAGACACTTGGCATGGGAGCAGGGTTGAGAGAAGCCTTTCCCGTGAGGTAGAGTATGGTAACCGTGTCTTTTAATGGTAGCAATTTTCTGGGGCAGAGGGTCAGTCTTCTGCCCCAATCAACTCTTCCTGGAGGAGAAATCCATTCCACTTTAACAATTTTATTACAATGCAGGAAACAAAATAAAGACAAGTTTACTATTCCGACTCTACACTGAGGATACCACATTGGAATGTTTTTTGTCTACCTGAGCTGTGGTCCTAAAACATAAAACCTGATGGACTGAAAAAGAGGTTTGGAGGTCAAGCATGGACCCTGTGATCCCTCCACGGAGACACCTCTTCTCTAAGGCAGCTCTCGGGAGCTTCCAGGATCCGTTGGCTCTCCTGAGAGTGGACAGAAAGGAGAGGAGAGGGCTGGAGATGGATGCTCCTAGATTTCTTGTGATGACCAAGCCAATTGCTTTTGCCACATTGCTCTGTGATTTGCCCTGATCGGGATAAATTGTGGAATTCACATCAAGCAATTTGGGAAGTGGGCTGGGTTCTGTCAGACCCATCATCCTCTTCCCGTGGGTGTGAATGTCTTTAGGTCCTGTGCTGACACCTGAGCCCCTGGCACTGCCACCCAATGGGGCAAAGAAGCAAAAAAAAAAAAACCAAAAACATTTCTTACCTTGTGTGTTTTAACAAAAGTTTATAAAGCGAAATAAATGGCACATATGTTTTCTAAGTCCTTGGATGGGTGTCTTTTCTTCCTTTCAGGTATTAGAAATAAGAATAAAAATAGTCAAATAGTCCTCTGCAGTGTGGAAGTGCTTTCCTATCCATTATTGTTGTTTAATCTTCACATTAAGAGGTAAGCAGGTTAGGGCCGGCCGAGTGGTGTGATGGTTAAGAACTGGCTTGGGACGCCAGAGGGCCGCGGTTCGGATCCCACATATGAGGGCCAGTGACGCTGCCCTCCGCAGCTAAGATGCTGAACAGCGGCTCGTCCTGGGGCTGGGCTGCAGTGGGTTGCCATGGGCTACCGTGTGTAGCCAGCAGCCAGCGTGAGCGGCCAGCAGCCAGCGTGAGCGGCCAGCAGCCGCAATGAGCGGCCGTCCAGAAGCCGGCAACTGATGTGCCTCGCCTGGGAAGAGCACAATGATGGTGCCAACTTGGGCCAGTGAAGCAACGTCCTCCACGGCTAGACTGAAGAACAAACGACAGCAACTTGTCTGTTCCCCTTCCCCAATTCCCCAGCACTGTTCCCATCCCCCCAATTGCCCAATAAAAATCTTAAAAAAAAAGAGGTAAGCAGGTTAGACATTATTATCGCTGACCCCCACTTTATAGATGGGGAAACTGAGGCTTGGAGAAGTGATTTTTCCTTGAGAGGCAGAGGCGAGACTCTAACTCTGGTCTCTTGATTCCAAGTACTCAGTATGTGAAGAGAGTAAAAGTTGATAAAGGAGGGGGTGATAGAAATATCCAGAAGAATGGCAAGAAGGTCCAAAGGTCTGTCATCTATCATCAGGGTCCAAGAGGGAGCCCTGTTCTGGCTCCTGGTCAGCCTGCCAGCGATAAGGGACAAGTAGGCATGGGGAATTTAATGAAAGCAAGCGTTGTTTTGAAAAAGAATGAAAGCAGCGGATGCACTTGAGAATTTCCAGCCAGGTCCATTGCCACCTTGGTCCTTTGCCCTGATAAACTGGCCACCACAGACCATAGCCTCACATTCATCAGGAATGTGCTGGAGCTGGCTTGTGAGAGCCGATTGTTGACTTCTCTTCCTAATGTCACAGGTCACACTGATAGATGGAGGTTGCATTTACACCAGAATAACTGGCAAACACTACGAATCAAGGCTTTTCCCTGGGGTGCCAGCGGTTACACAGTCACCAGCACAGCACGGCCGCCATTCAGTGATGGGTGGATCGGGGCTTGTGCTGGCTGGACTGTGGGATGCCTAGGTGTGCTGTCACTCAAGGATGAGGGATGGAGCAGGGAGACCTTTCAGCTCTCCCCCAAGGGAAGGGACATCAGTTCTAGTCTGGGATCTCTGTGACCCATGTAACCTTGGTCAGGTTACTCCACCTCTCCGAGCTGCATCTGTAAAATGGGAATGATCCCTCCCTACAAGGGTGTTATCAGGGTTCAACTGAATGAGATCCTAGTAAACCGTAAGAGCTGCGTGTAGATGAGGTGCCCAAAGGGGCCACCGCCAGGAGGCAGTGAGTGTGAACTCCTCAGCCAGTCCCTTTCCTGTGAAAGGATAACCATTAAGTTCTCCAGCCTTAAGAGCACTCATTAGCTGCCTGCCTGATCCCAAGGCCATGCCCGCCTTTCCCTCTTCTTTCTTTTCACTCATAAACACCAGGAAATGTTTTGTATAACGTTGCAACAGAAGCCTTGTCCATGCTGCTGCCAGCATGGACATGGGGGGTGGGGGTCGGAGGAGGCCATTGCAGTCCTAGAGTGTGCTTAATAAACCCATATCAAAACCATAAACCCTGAGCGGCCATAAATTCCTCTGGCCTTGCCTCCTCCACCTCATCAGCCCTTTGCCCCACTTAATCTCAAATCTCAGCGTGGGCGGCCAGAGCTTGGTTTCCATTTCAGTTGCAAAACAACATCAGCTTGGGTGACCAACAGCAAATCCCATTATCCCCATTTTAGAGGTGATAAAACCGAGGTTCAGAGAGGTGAAGACACACAGCTGGTGCGCAGCGGAGCCAGGACTTGAACCCGTGGCTCTTCTACCAACCCACGTGGCCTCATTGATCAACCCCTACACAGGTCGCTTCCCTAGCCATGATACTAAAAGCTTTTTATCCCATTATTCCAAATAGAACCCCATTACTCCAAGAGCGGGGGATGAGAAATGAAGGACTCTGGGTGATAAGCTGCATGAGGATCCAAAGGAAGTTCCACGCAGGGTGAGTGACCTGTCATCCCAAATTGACGCCATTGTCCTACTTCCTCTTTTATGGAACCCAGCTCACCCTTCTTCAATGGATGTATCGTATGTAAATTTCAAGCCATGATTCAAGAAACCTGACTCACGGGATCCCATGCAACTATTTTTTTTATTTTTTTTTAAGAATGACAGTTTTGCAGTATTTTTTTTTTAAGATTTTTATTGGGGAATTGGGGGGATGGGAACAGTGCTGGGGAGTTGGGGGAAGGGGAACAGACAAGTTGCTGTCCTTTTGTTCTTCAGTCTAGTTGTGGAGGACGTTGCTTCACTGGCCCAAGTTGGCACCATCATTGCGCTCTTCCCGGGCGAGGCAGATCAGTCGCCGGCTTCTGGACGGCCGCTCACAGTGGCTGCTGGCTGCTCACGCTGGCTGGTAGCCCATGGCAACCCACTGCAGCAGGGGCTACAGCTTACGCCGTCACTGGCCACTCACGGCAGCCCAGCTCCAGGTTGAGCTGTCGTTCAGCATCTTAGCTGTAGAGGGCAGTGTCACTGGCCCTCATATGTGGGATCCGAACCGGGGCCCTCTGGCGTCCAAGCCAGCTCTTAACCATCGCGCCACTCGGCCGGCCCCCATGCAACTATTTAATGATGGTAGAGCTAAACAACAAATCCTGATGTCAGGGACATTTATTGGCCTCGTCCTCTTTGTCAAACATTGTTGGACATAATTTAATCCCGACAACATCCCCTTGAGTCAGCTGTTCTTGTTGTTCTATTTTACAAATGAGGAAACGAGGGCTCAGAAGGAGGAAGGGATTTGACCATGGCGCATAGCCGGTGCCACAGCTGAGACTCAAACACCCATTGTCTGGCTCCAGGGGCCACCAGGATGGAATGGAGAAGGGCACTGATGACTCAGTCACTGCGTGCTGGGCACAGAAGTAGTGTGAACCGTGGGCAGTTCATTATTTGACAAAGGTCAATGGGCAAAGCTGTGTCCCAAAGCATCCTGGGAGTTCTGAAGAACTAGTACCACCTGGTGCCTCCTTCCTGGCGCTTACAATTTTCCCTTGGAGGGGGAAAAAATAACCAGCAGTTGAATATTAGGAGCCAAAGGAGTGAGAGTGACAGCTGGTGAGATGATGGTTTGAGGGAGGGAGAGATTACTTCGGTCTGGGAAAGGGAGTGGTTGGTGGGCACGCGCAGGAGAAGGACTGGGAGGCGATAGGGAGGTAGAGAAAGTGCATTCGAGGCTGAGGGGAGAGCATGAGCAGGGAGTTGGGGCAGGCAGCAGGGAGCACAGCCAGCAGACGGGAGGGAGGACGGAGGCCAGCACTTCTCAACCTTCAGTCATTGCACAGGCCACCCTGATCCTCTCCGTACGCAAGGACCACTGCACCTTCCGCTACTTAATACGTTTCAAGTCAATTTATAATCTTCCTCTTTACACTGATCACTGACATAAATGGGAAGCCAGTATCGCTTGCTGTAAATAGGAGGTGATTGTAAAACTAAAATGAAAAGAAAATAGTATTCTTAAGGTGCAGCCAGATAGGATGGCTCAGGAAAGCTCTGCTCTTTTCTTCTGCAATCAGGAAATTGACACGTATTTAGAGAGATGTTCAAGGCATATGCTAGTCCATGGAGACTTTCTCCTTAACGTTTTCAGAAGGAAGTCAGACCTGTGAAGAGACAGGCTTTGGGGACAATGTCACTTAGTGCCATCTCTGTGTATCCCTAAAATCACTCAGCATGCCACTGAAGTCCTCATCCCACACCTGGAAGCACGCTGTGGTGGCTGGACTGGGCCAGGGGGTGAGGCCCTGAAACACTGGGGGAAACAGGAAACTACTGGAGATCTGAGGTTGGGGGAAGGCTACGGCCAGATCTGTATTTTTAAAGGATCGTGCTGGCAGCTTCGTGGAGGATGGTTCAGAGAGAATGGTTTGGTTAAGCAATGAGACCCGTGAGGACACTTCTGTACTGGACCAGGTGAGAGATGGTGGCAGCAGAGATGCAGAGGAAGGAACTGATCCAAAAGACGTATATTCATTCATTAGTTCATTCGCTCAACAAATATTTAGGGAGTATCTACTGTGCGCTGTGCGCCTTCTAGGCACCAGTGTACACAGGTGAGCAAGACAGATAAACTCCCTGATTTCATGAAGTTTACCTTCTAGAGGGAGCAGGCAGACAATGTTTGAGTGAATAAAGAAAGAAAGGTAATTTCAAGTTGTCAAGTGCTATCAGCCTGTCAAACGGTCACGTTCTTTAAAAATAAAACAAGGCATTGTGAAAGTGAATGTGAAATAACCATAACAAAATAGGGTTATTTGAATATAACAAAATAGGGAATGGGATATCAGATTGGGGAGTCCGGGAGGGCCTCCCTGAGGAGGTGAATCTGGCCCGAGACCTGGAGCCTGAGAAGGGGCCAGCCACACGCAGCTCTGAGGGAAAGGCATGCCGGCGGGAGGGAACAGAGAATGGAAAAGCCCGAGGTGGAAACAAGCTGAGGATGAGCACATAGGTCCGTGTGGCTGCAGCAGAGTGGAAGGCGATGAAGGCTGAGAGGTAAGCAGGGGCAAGGCCAGGCAGGGCCATGAGAGAGATCGTGGATTTTATTTTAGGTGCCCTGGGAAGCTCTTCAAAGTTTTTTAATAGGGAGGTGATGTGATCCAATTCATGTTCTTAAAAGGCTACTGTCTCTGCTGTGGAGAGAACAGATTTTATGGAACAAAGGTGGAAGCAGAA